CACGGTGGCTGCGATGATGGGCTCAAGTTTAGCAGGGATTGTGGGGCTGGCGTGGGATCGGGCAGTGTTTCGTTCTGCTGTGCATGGGGTCACTATGAGTTGGAAATGACTCGACGGCACTTAACAACAACAAACAACATATCTTACACAACTCTTAACTTAAATTGAAGGAGCTCTTGTCACTCAGTGCTAAGGCATCTGACTGCTAACCAGAAGGTCAGTGGTTCAAACCCATCAGACACTCTGTGGAAGAAAGATGAGACAATCTACTTCCATAAAGATTTACTGCCTTGGTAATCCAATGGGGGTAACTATGAGTCAGAATCGACTCAATGGCAGTGTGTTTGGTTTGGTTTGAACCTGCATTGAACAAATCTGGCTACATGTTATTTTCAGACCAAAAAAGATACATGTCCTATCTTTGACCTCTGTATTCATAGAAAGTCTCTTTGAAGACTCATTGTGTCTTTGTTTGGTTTGGTTTGAACCTGTACTGAACAAATCTGGCTACATGTTATTTTCAGACCAGAAAAGATACATCTCCTATCTTTGACCTTTGTATTCACAGAAGAAAGTCTCTTTGAAGACTCATTGTGTCTTTTAGAGTCAGTCAATTACAATTCACAATTACCTGGATTTTGTTTTTTACCTGTATCAGAAAGGTGACTAGTCTTACACAGGAGATCTAATTCTCGGTTCCACACACACAGGTCATTCCCACCAGAGAGCCAAACATCTAGTCTCTGAAGAACAGTTAAACACTGCAAAATTGATTTAAAATGTGTATCAGTTTTAAAACACATTCATTTATTATTTTGATGATTTTAAAGTATGTCCACAAATTCTCTGAAACTCTTTCCTTCAAGAGGAACTGAAATATGGACTCTACTAAGTGACTCTCACTCATTGCTATCAAATTGGTCCCGACTCCTAGCAACCCCTCCTTGGGTTTCTGAGATGATATCTCTACCGAAATAGATTGCCCAATCTTCTTTCTGAGGAGTGGCTAGTGGGTTTGAACCACCCAGCCTTCTGGTTAGCAGTAAAATGCCTTAGGCACTATGACACCAGAGCACCCACTAAATGACTAACTTCTAATAAATAGAATGTGGCAGAAGGCATAGCATGTGACTTCCAAGACTAGGTCATAAAAGATATGTGGCTTCCTCTTTCCACACTCCTGGATCATTCACTCTATGAAGACACTTGCAGTCTTATGGAAAGAAGTCCATATGGCAAGGGGCTGACTTCTCCAAACAACCAGCAACAGTAACTTGCTAAACATGTAAGTGAGACTCCTAGAAAGGAGATCTCCAGTCCCAGTCACGCCTTCAGATGGCAGCAACCTCATCAGAGACCCTGAACCAGAACCACCCAGCTAAGCCACTCTTGGATTTCTGACCACAAATACTGTGAGATAATAAATGTTTATTGTGTTAAGTCAGTTAAGTTTTCAAATAGTTCCAAACAGTTTATTACTCAATAATAGATAACTAAGGCTCTGGTGGTTTAGTCCCTAAGGTATCTGACTGCTAACCAGAAGGTTGGTGGTTCAAACCCATGAGCCACTCTGCAGAAGAAAGATGGGGCAATCTACTTCTGTAAAGACTTACCGCCTCACAAACCCAACAGGGGTCACCATAAGTCGGACTCGACTCAACAGCAGTGAGTTTGGCTCTTTCTGGTTTTAATAGATAACCAACACAGAACGCTTAAAATAAGTTCTTTTTTAGATAAAAACACAACATATCCTTCATTAGTATCTCTTTATTTTCTCAGTAATTCTATACATTTGGTAGCTTCAGGAAAGTGAGTGTTCCAAGGACTGTGGAATTCCTTTACCTTTAACAGTACTCTCCCCACTGATAAACTTTGAGCAGCAGTATAGCAAGAAAGAAAAAAATGTTTGAATTTTTTAATAAAAAGGAAAGGGTTCTGGTAGTCTTGCCTGAGGGTGAGGGTGCTTTTAAAACTGCTGTAATAGAAATAGTTGAAAAAAAGTCAATGCAGTTTATATTTCCAGAGATCCTACCACGTCGAATTACTGTTTTTTTTTTTTTTTTTAAATAATGGTACTGCATTTTTTTTTTTAATTGTTGAATAATACACTGTTGGGAGCTCTGGTGGTGCAGTGCCTAAGGTATTTGACTGCTAACCAGAAGGCTGACAGTTCAAATCCACCAGCCACTCCTCGAAAGGAAGACTGGGCAATCTACTTCCATAGAGATACTGCCTCGGAAACCCAAGGAGGGGCCACTATGAGTCAGATCCGACTTGACAGCAGTGAGAGTACAAGTATCTCATTTTGTTTATCCATTCATCAGCTGAAGGACATTTAAATTGTTTCTACTTTTTGGCTATCATAGATAATATTGCTATCAACATTCATGTACACCTCTTTGTGTTTTCATTTTTCTTGAGTATATACCCAAGAGTGGGACTGATTGGGTCACATGGTAACTCTACACTTAACACTTTGAGGAACTACCAAACTATTTTCCAAAGCAGCTAGATCATCTCACAACTCTACCAGCAATGTATGAGATTCCAATTTCTCTCTATCCTCACCAACACTTGTTATTGTCTGTCTTTTAGATTTCAGCCATTTTATTACACATGGGAATAGTATCTTAATGTGATTTGACTTGCATTTCTCTGTCAGTTAACAATATAGAGCAATTTTTTATGTGCTTATTGGCCACCTTCTTTGGAGAAATATTAAGACTTCTATTTTTAATTGGGTTGTCTTCATATTGCTGACTTGTAAGAGTTCTTTATATATTCTTGGTACTAGTCCCTTATCATACATCATTTATAAACACTTTCTCATATTCTGTGGGTTATCTTTTCACTTCCTTGATGTCTTCTGAAGCACAGTTTTTAATTTTGATGAAGTCCAATTGATTTAGTCCTTCTGTTTTTGTTGTCATATCTAAGATACCCAAACCAAAGTTACAAAGATTTACTACTATATTTTCTTCTAAGAGTATTATAGTTTCAGCTCTTACATTTAGTTCTTCAACTATTAATTATTGTACACAGTGTGAGGTAAGGGTCCAACTTGATTCTTCTGCATTTAAAGATGCAATTGTGCCACCAAAAAAAAAAAAAAAAAAAAAAACCCCACCACCCAATCTCACTGCCATTGAGTCAATTCGATTCATAGCGACCCCTCCTTGGGTTTCCAAGGTGGTATCTCTACAGAAGTAGATTGCCCAATCTCCTGAGGAGTGGCTGGTGGGTTTGAACCACCAGCCTTCTGGTTAGCAGTCAAAAGCCTTAGGCACTACCACCACAACTCCTAACTGTGCCACAGAACCCTACAATTTTTTCCCCATTGAATGGACTTAGCACCCTTGTCAAAAACCCAGTAACCATAAATGTGAGGGTCTGTTCCTGCATTTTCAATTCTATTCCATTGATCTATGAGTCAACCCTTAAACCAGTACAACACTGTCTTATTCCTCTGTTGTTGTAGTAAATTTTGAAATTGTGAAGTATCAGTCTTCCAACTTTTTTCTTCCTTTTAAAGACTATATGGCTATTCTAAAGCCCTTGTATTTCCACCTGAATTTTAGGATCAACTTGTCAATTTCTGCAAAACAAGACAGCTAGGATTTTGATAGGCACTGCATTCAATCTGTAGACCAGTTTGGGTAATATTGCAATTTAAAAGAATATTAAATCTGATTGGTGACCATGAGATGTCTCTCCATTTATTTAGATTTTCTTTCATTTCTTTAAACAATGTTTTTCACTTCTTCAAACAATGTTTTATACTTTTCAAAGTATAAGTCTTCCACTTCTTTAAATTAATTCCTAAGTATTTTATTCTTTTGGATGCTACTGTAAATGCAGAAATTGGTAACATCTTCAATTACTTCATCTTTGGCATCAGTGGTTACTGCATAAATTTGAATAATAATTGTATTAACTGGTCTTCCCTGTGGACAGATTAATATTACCCTATCACAAACAGCATTGTACCTCAGGATAAATCCTGAAATGTTCTTTTTGACGATGAATGCAATGCATTTCCTCTTCAATCTGTCATTCCTGGCACAGTAGACCATGTTTGTCTGGTCATTTTAAAATAACCAATACTAGTTCATTTTAGCTCATTAATATCTAAGATATCAATTCTTTTTTTTTCCCTTTACCATCCCCAACCGTAACCCAGCCTCCTCCCCTCCCTGCCCAGTAACCCCTTCTCCCACCTCCCCCCCATCTGTGCTCCTCATAGTAATGCACTCCTGTGTGCCTTGCATTTCCTCATGTGAATGTTGCTCCTCTGGTGCCTCGTGGTCGATCGCTCCAAGGGATGCATTTCCACAGAGTATGGGGGTGCACCACTTGGGGCTGAGTGGTCTACATGTACATCTTGTTTACTATTGGGCTGAGAGCCAGCCCCTGGGAGTGAGTTTTATTCCAGGCCCAGAATGTATCCCAGGGCCGTAGTATCGGGGGTCTCACCAGGCTCCATTCAACCAATAATTCTGGTCATTATTGAGTTTTTGGGTTTTGTTCCATGTTGTTCCTCCCACTCTATCCAGGATCTCCAGTTTTCCTCCTTTCCTCAGTGGTTGGCACTGGTAGTCAGGTACCATCTAATTCTTCTAAGGTATCAATTTTTATGCATTTCATTCTTGATGACTTCCAAGTTTCTTATATTCATACTTCATACATTTCACATTTGGGTAATTAAGGTCAACTTTACTTTGAGGAGGCAGCTCTTCTCCAGTTTTATTTTGAGTGCTTTCCAACTTAAGGGGCTCATCTTCCAGCACTGTATCAGACAACACTCTATAGCTATTCCTAAGGTTTCACTAGTCAATTTTTTCAGAAGTAGACTGTCAGGTACTCCTTCCTAGTCTGTCTTAGTCTAGAAATGCTGCTGAAGCCTGCCCACCACTGGTGACCCTGCTGGTATTTGGGTTATCAGTGGCAAAGCTTCCAGCACCACAGCAACATCCAAGCCACCACACTATGAACAAACTGACAGATAAGTGGTGCATCTCACACACACACACACACACACAATTTAACGTTTTTATTATAAGACATTTAGGATACTGCCAATTATCCATTTTAAAAAATTTCTTTATAGTATACATTTCTTTTCAAAAATCTCTGCTAAAGTTTCTGATTATTTCCTTAAAAGAGTTTCAGTACAGGCTCAACACCCGTAATCTTTTTTTTTTTTTTAAATTTGGGTGAAAGTTCATTTTCCATACAACAGTTCATACACATTTTGTTTCATGACATCGACTGCAATCCCCATAATGTTACAGCTCTCTGCCTACTTCCTCCCTGTAGATAGTTACCTTTTCCCTGTGTCCTTTCCTATGCATTTCTACCCTCTGAGCTATCTCCCTCTCCTATCTCCCTCTCCTATCTCCCTGATCTTCCATGGTTGATTGTTCTAAATAGTGTACCTACTTGGTGCAACTGTTCACTTTGTAGGCCTGTCTCCTGTTTGGCCGGAAGCCATGGGAGTGAGTTCAATCATTTTTAAAAATTCATAAATAATGCCAAACTCCCTACTAGGGAAATCATATCAATTTATGCTCTCAACAACAAAAGTATGTCAATTTCACCATCTCCTTGCTTGCACAGAACTTTATAAAAACGTTTACTACTTTGAAAAATAAATAACACTATTTATTACATTTATTAGTAATCCAAAATTCTCTGATAAATTATTTGTTCAAGAACCACTGAGTTTTAGCCTAGTGAGACCCCTGAGACCATGGCCCCTAGTCACCTTTCATGTCTGCAATTGATCTTACTCTGGTGGCTTCCAGCCAAACAACAGACAGGCATTTGGGGTGAACATTTACATCAGGCAGATATACTCCTTGGAGCAATCAATAGTGGGAGAGCAGAAGGGCAGTGTTTGCACAGGGAGACAGCTCAGGGAGCTGGAGTGCATGGGAGAGAAGGATACAGGGAAGAGATAACTATGGGGAGGAAGTGGGAAGAGAGATGTTGCATTGTGGGGAAATGTCATAAAACAAAATGCATATGATGAACTTCTGTATCGAAAATGAATTTGTTCTGTAAACTCACTCAAATAACAATAAAAAGAAAAGAAACACTGAGTTTTAACTATGAGCTAAAATGAATGCAGTATTATTTTCAACAGCATCTTTTAAACTTGTGATTTAGGTTAAAGTTTACCAAACAAACTGGTTTTCCATTCAATAATTCATGTACATTTTGCTTTGTGACACTCACTGGAACCCCCACAATGTAACAGGACTCATCCCATTTTCTCTGTTTATCATTTTCATTCCTCCTTGTTTCCTATCTCTTCCTGCCTTCTGAGCTTTAGCCCTGGGCAAATGCTGCCCTTCTGATCTCATATGGTTGATTGTTGTAATGTGTACATACCTGCCTGGTATTACTGTTCACTTTATACCTTATCATTTGGATGAAAGTTGACCCAGGGGGGTTGAGTTCAGTTCCTGGCTTGAAGGGTGTCTAAGGGCCTTAATCTTGGGAGTTCCACCAGTCTTTATCAGACTGGTAAAACCAAACCAAACTCACTGTCATTAAGTTGATTCCGACTCAGCAATATTCAAAAGGTTGCCAAAGCTGTAAATTTTTACAGAAGCAGAATGCCTCATCTTTCTTCCATGGAGCGGCTGGTGAGTTTGAACCTCTGACCTTTCAGTTTCCAGCCAAATGTCTTAATCATGACACCACCATAGCTAAGTAAACATAGTCCTTTATGATTTTGAGTTTTGTTCCACATTTTTCCCCACTCTATCTGGGACCTCTTATTGTGATCCCTTTCAGAGATGTCAGCAGTAGCAGCAGGGCACATTCTAGCTCTTCTGCTGAAGGCAGGGGCTCATGTGCTCCATCAGTCAATTGGATTAAGTGGTTCCTTGTGTCTTTGATTTTCTTCACTCTTCTTTGTTCCAGATGGGGAAAGAACAATAGTTGCACCTAAGACTGGACACTCACAATCTCTTAAGAACTCAGTTGCTACTCACTAAAGTAGGATGTAGGACATTGTCTCTGTGACTGTTTTATGCCAATTAACCATAGTGTCCCCAAAGACTATAGTCCTAAGCCCCTATACCCAGTATCTCCTTCCCTCAAGGTGTTTGGTTCTGACCAAGAAGTTTTCATAACTTTGCCCCCCCCATATGTTCCACTGTATTCATGAATATATTTGCATCATATATAAATACATATATAAAGACATCCTCTGCCAAATATGTATATATTTGTGGATATTTCTAACAATTTTTTATGTGAAGCAGGACTATAGCAGAAGTAAATAAATACAATTGCCTAGCTAAGTGTAATACCTAGCATTATAGTAAAATCAAGTACTTTTTTCCTTAGCTTGCTGTAGGGATTTGCCCCTTGTTGCAATTTCAAAGCAAACATTCTACATTATATAGTCCCAAAAACCTAGTCTTAGAAAAATCAAGTAACTGTAGGTGTGAGTCAAAGAAATCATTTTTATAACCTACAAAGGTAATACCACCTAATTTATTAATCAACTTTTCTAAGACGATAATAGATCATTACCATAAAAGCATGTATCTGCATAAGATTTTACCTTTACAGTAGACTGGAAGCATGATACTCTCTGAACTTGTCTGCCAGTATCACAATCCCATACATGAATTTATGTTAAGGAATAATTTCTAAACAGAATTTTAAAATCTTAATTAGAAGATTATTTTTCTAACTAACAAATATATCCAGGGAGTTCTGGTGGCACAGTGGTCAAGTATTCAGCTGCTTCATGGGAGTAAGATGAGGCAGTCTCCTTCCATAAAGATTTACAGTCTCGGAAACCTTACAGGCAGTTCTACTCTGTACCATCAGGTTGTTATGATTCAGGATGGACATATTACCAGGGGATTTGGTGTGATTTAACAAATATATCACAGGAGTTACACATTTAATTACAAATATATTTATAAACAACAAAATATACAGTGTTTATGGGAGCTCTGGTAGCATAGTGGCTAAGACACTTGCCTGCTAACCAGACGGCTGGCAGTTCAAATCCACCAGTCACTCCTCGGAAGGAAGGTTGGGCAATCCTACTTCCGTAGTGATACTGCTCGGGAAACCCAAGGAGGGGTCGCTATGAGTCGGGTTTGACTCGACGGCACATAACAACAACAACAACATACTACGACAAAAATTAATTCATATAATGACTTATCACCTTAGCAGAACAGACTTATGAACTATAATAAATTTGCGGTATATTTTATATCCAACTATTTGAAAATGTCAACAGAATGAGTGGTCTTAGGTGTTAAATCTATACATGCAATAAATATGGCAACTGTTTAAATGTTAAGATTTATTCTTCAAAATAGTCTTCCATAAGCTAATAAACATTGTGCATGAAGTCCTTATCCTAATAATGATCACATCTGTTAATATTTGCTAAAAGGTCTCTGGCATGATTTACTACTCTCAGCCTACTTCAGAAAGATAGTAATAGTGTATAATTATGACCTGTATCCATATTTAATTTGAGGTCCTCTTATAAAATGTCTAAGGTTAGTGTGACTTAAGAAGCATAATGATTTTCACACAATTTATACCATGTCCTATGGAAAGAAAAACATTTTATATCAAATCTCAGAACACATTTATTCATTTATTTATACTCACATTAAAATTAAAGATTGAAACTAATTTTACAAACTACTTAACCTTCCTATGTCCAATGCTTCCTTCTATTTTCTATTATGTTCTATTTCATGATTTAAATGTAGTTAGACTGTTAAGAGGATTAGATAGTACATGTAATACATCAAACAAACTGCTGGCACAGAAAAAAAATGTTATCAGTTATTGTTACAGTACTTTGTAGTCTTAAATTTACCAATCTTTTAGTATTACCTCATAGCCTTTTCACTTATTAATCTATTTGAAAGTTAAATATCTGATATTTAGTAACCTGTACTCTTAAGGCAATCACTTAATAAAAATTAAAAATCAACCTTCAAAATTTAATTAAGGAAATTAGGTAACAGTGAAGCAGGGCAAATTTAGAATTCATTTAAAAAGAACTGACAACTAAGTAACTTAGAATTTATTATTTTTTTTAAGCAAAAAAGTCATTCAGCAAAGAAAATGATTCTGCACTGTCATTTACAAGTAGAATTTATACTGATACTGTCCCAGCAAGGAATCCAAGTTGCACAGTGCTTAAGCACTTGGCTGCTAAGCCAAAGGTTTGTGATTCAAACCAACCAGTCACTCTGCGGAAGAAAGATGCACATACCAGTCTACTCCTGTAAAGATCACAGCTTTGCAAATCCTCTGGGTCAGTTTTACTTTGTCCTACTGTAGTGCCTAAGGCATCTGACTGCTAACCAGAAGGCCAGCACTTCAAACCCACCAGCTCCTCTTTGGATGGAAAACTGGGCATCTACTTCCTTACAGATACCACCTCAGAAACCCACAGAGGGGTCATTATGAATCGGAATCGACTCGACAGCAGTGAGGTTTTTTTTTTGTTTTGTTTTGTTTTTTTGGTTAACTAGTCACAAACAGTTGGAATCAACTCAATAGCAACAGATTTGGTTTTGGGTCCCAGCTCCTCACCTCTGTACTATAACTGTAATTTTAATAATCATCTCTAAATATTATTTACTAAAGTATCTTTTACCAATTGTCTGTTTGTCATACTATGGTGTCTTGCATATTGCCATGATGCTGGAAGCCATGCCACCAGTATTTCAAATATCAGCAGGGTCACTCATGGTGGATAGGTTTCCGTGGAGCTTCTAGACTAACACAGACTAGGAAAAAGGACTTGGCGGTCTATTTCTAAGAAAACTGGGTAGTGAAAACCTCATTAACAGCAGTAGAACACTGTTTGATACAGGGCCAGAAGTTAGCCCCACAAGTTGGAAAACACTCAAAATATGACTGGGAGAGAGCTGCCTCTTTAAAATAGACTCAACCTTAACAACATGGATGGACAAAAGCTTTCAGGACCTTTGTTTGCTGATGCGGAACAATTCAAAATGAGAAGAACAGCTGCAAACATCCATTAATAACTGGAAAGTAGAATTATGAACTATGAATCTAGGAAAACAGGAAGTTATAAAAAATGAAACTAGACAATCATATGGTCTACTATGCCAGGAATAACACATTGAAAAGCAATGACAACCGATTCATTGCAAAAAGAACATTTCAAGATCTATCTTGAATTATAATGCTATCAGCGATAGGATAATATCCATACGTGTAGGAGGATGACTGGTTAATATGACTATTATTCACATTTATGCACCAATGACTAAAGCCAAGGATGAAGAAACTGAAGATATTTACTAACTTCAGCAGACTGAATCGATCAACCATGCACTCAAGATGCATTCATAATTACTGGTGATTAGAATACAAAAGCTGGAATCAAAGCAGCAGCACTGGTAGTTGGAAAATATAACCTTGGTGATAGAAATGATGCCAGAGACTGCATGATGAAATTTTGCAAGACCAACAACTTACTCATTACAAATAACTTTTTAAAACAACAAACAGAAACTATACCTTGCCAGATGGAATACACAGGAAGCAAATTGACTATATCTGAGGAAACAGACAATGGAGAAGTTCAGTATCATCAGAAAGAAACAAGACCAGGGGCCAGCTATGGAACAGAGTATCAAGTACAAGTTGAAGATGTAAAAAATTAAAACAAACCCACAAGAGCCAAAATACAACCTTGAGGATATGCCACTTGAATTTAGAGACCATCTCAGGAACAAATTTGACACACTGAACACCAAACAGTGAAGACCAGATGAGTTATAAGATAGTATCATGGACATTATACATAAAGAAAGCAATGGTGTTGTTGCTGTAGTTGTTAGGTACCATCGAATTGTCCCCAACTCACAGTGACCCTATGCACAGCAGAATGAAACACCGCCTGGTCCCACACCAGCTCCGCAATCCCTGCTTTACTTGACCCCATCACCACAGCCACTGTGTCAATCTATCTCATTGAGGGCCTTGCCCTCTTTCGTTGACCCTCCACCTTACCAAACATGACATCCTTCTCCAGGGAATGGTCCCTTCTGACACGACCAAAGTAGGTTAGATGAAATCTGGCCATTCTCGCTTCCAAGGAGCATTCCATTTGCACTTCTTCCAGAACAGATTTGTTAGTTCTTTTAGTAGTACATGGTTCTTTTGGCATTCTTTGCCAGCACCACATCTCAAAAGCATCAATTGTTCTTCGGTCTTCCCTATTCATTGTCCAGCTCTCACATGCAGATGAGGTGACTGAAAA